CAAAATACGAAGCCTGGAAATTACGATGAAATTTAAGGCACCTTTTGTGTGTGTTAAATGCAGAAATTACACGTCACATCGAAACAGTTCATAAATGAATATGCGTTTGAGTCCTTAAAATAATTCTAAAGATATGAAAAGATTTACAGACACTGAGTGATTTCTTTGGAGTTGAGGCGATTACTCTTTATTTATTTAAAACTTATGGTTAATGCAATAACAGAAATTGAGGTTTGATATATTCCTCGATGTTTGGCATTGAAAACTATTATACATTACTACCGTTATATGGTTTGCGAGGATAGATTAGCAATTGTCTAAAGACTTATGATAACAGGAAGATGAGTATTATCTATTTATGATTCTTTTATAAAATTAGAGATGCGTATGTTAATTTTTTTAGGAAAGTGTGTGAGTTTTCCAAAGGGCACGTGTGTCGACTTCCCTTTCCAAATCATATAGTTATAAATGGCAAAGTCAATTCTTTTGTTTTCGGTATGTGAAACAACCCACCTTCCCCTCAAAATAAAATCAGATTAAAAGTTGAAGTAGCTTGTGTACAACTTCATGTCCCACCTAAAGAAGAATCAGTGCAAGTTTCTGGGAATTCCGTCAGAATTTTTTTTTCAAGGAGTCGAGCCAATATGTAGTCATAAGCGAATTTAGAGGGTCTAGTTGACAGAGGTCTAGAGCGTTTTGGCGACAACTTGATAAAAAAATATTTTTCTTAAAATCAATATCCGTATAAAACGAACATGCGATTGCAAAACAGGATTTTTATATTGCATACTTGACATGAGCTATACTGAGTTGGCACAGTTATTCCTGCTTCCCTCTGTCTGTCACAGAATCGTATAAAAGAGCAAATCAACAACTTCATTAGGTTTTGGCCAATTTACAAAAGGACAAGTTATGAAAATGTGAGAAATGTTTGAGCAAACTGAAAGTACAAAGTTGAGGTTTCAAATTGTTTCTACTCTAAAAGGCTGTTTTTAGTTTGTTTACAGGGGTATATTAAAATAAATTGAGCATATTTCGAATATGATAGTCAATGACCAAACCATATAAACCAGTGTCATTTATTTTCCAAAACGGTCTTATTTCGGAATTTACAAAACTAATATAGCTTAGGGTTTTGAACTATTTTCAAACTGGCTACAAACAAATAATCATGATTCATTTCATAAACTTCTTCAAAACAAAGACTGTTTTCACATTTCCATTTCAACTTTAGCCAGGAAGCTACCTCTAATTTCCAAAATAGCACCTCAGAATGGAACAAACAGTGGTTGCCTCTTATTCAGCATGTTGTACAATCTAATTTAAATATAGAGATATGGTTTCGAATCGTCATATGCTTATATGTACGAGCACGTGAGTTAAGATAGATCTGAATTTTAATCAGATTGCATGTTGTAATGCTATCTATCGAAAGAGAGAGGAATGGGAGAGAGAGAAATTATTTCTTTAACAAGAAAATTATACCCCACACAAAACAGCAGCTTCATTAAGAATCCATGTCAGTTTTTCTACATTTTATATAAAAAAATGAGGTAAAATCATGCTTCTTTATGTATCAATTATCTGATCGTTCATGCCAAACAAGCATTTAGGTTCACGATTGCGTTTCTTTTTTTTTAAAGAAAGCAACTTGTTTTGGAACATTTATTTGTAACATCAAGAGAAATATATATCAGTAAAAAAAAATCATGAATATCTGTGTACATGGTGTATGCGAGGTGACGACGTATGTATACCAGTCAAAGGTTAAATGGAGGGTTGACTGAGAAGCAGGAGTACCAAGATAACCCGAAAACAATCGAAAACAAGCTCAAAAACCGAAAAACGGTTCTTAATTCCCGAGAACGATATTGTATAAGGTCCTTTCAAGTCAATAATGATTAAGGTAACAAGACTGTTTTCGGGTTTTAAGCTTGTTTTCGACTGTTTTTCGGGTTATGCAGGTACTTGCATCACTAATTATGTTACATCGTCGATTGATCTGCAGGTATCGCTTATTATCAGAGGCTTGTAGTATTTACATAACTGGTATTGATAAACTATTATGGTTAACATGGGATAATAACACGAAATTGAATGCTTTTTTTTTTGTACAAAGGTTTTTATAGAATAATTGTTTCAAAAATATTTCTATGTGTGTGTGTGTACTTTTATTTAATCATTATAAGTCTATATGTTTTTAATTGTAAATAAAGTTTGTATCACGACTGGTATTACTATTGTAAGTACTTATGACATATGTATTTATCTACATAACACCACGGAGACATCATGATTGTACATTATTAGTCATCTATTTATTAGAACAAAAATATAATACTGTCCCCCCAGACTGTCCAATTGAGGTCATTCCATATTTTCTTTTTGTCAAATGCTTGTAAGGATTAATTAAATGTTTTGTTTCAAGAATTGATACTTATTTAGTAATGCATGTCAACATGCAGTGGTGGTTTTAGGATATAGATTCATTTCGCCATTGAGGTGCAATTTTACGACAAATTCTGTCAAACTAACTGGTATGTTTTTGCATTACTCATGTTAAATTGAATTAAGACTTAAAGAAAGAGGTATGATCAATTCCCCTGTATACACGATTGTATTTTTTTCACTCATAGAGTCTTTCAATTTACAAAACTAGACTACGTATTTGAAAATAAACACATTGATTGCTCTTTAGTTACACTACAAAAGTACATGGAAGATGCGCTGTTTTAATAATACAATGAAAAACAGATGAGATCTTTTTGAGAGATGCTTTTTATATAAAAATCCTATTTTTCAATATAATGGATCACAAACTAATGTCGACATGGCTGCAGTGTATTTCCGATCATTTTTTAAACCCACAGCTGTGCAATAGAGCCTATTGGATAATTTACGATCGAAGTATACATCTCAAGAACCGAAAACCAAAGCTATCGCACTACCCAAACTTATATTTTCCAGTATGATATCGTCCTGAACAAACATGGAGTATTTGCCACTGGACGTTAAGTAACCAACAATCAATCAATTTATCCAGTATGATATATATAACCCTTAACACATTTATAGTTTTTGGCTCAATGAAAAAAAAAGATGTTTCATTCAATATATATATATATTTTTATTTTATTCATTCATTTTTTTTTATTTAATTTTTTTTGGTTGTGGGGGCGAACTTATGTTCAATTAAAATTATAGGACAACGGAGATTGCGTACGTGGGTTCGATTCCCATCCTAAGCATTCATTTACATCGGCTGGTGCAAAGCGGGTAGTTAAGCTTAGTGGCCCTGCGCTGACTCTGTTGTTTCTATGTCTAAAAATTCTGCCGGTCGCTGCCAAGTCTTGCTATCTTTCTTCTTTTTCTGTTTCTTTTCGAAGTCCAGATTTTACAAAACCATGATGGTAAAATGTGAAAATTATACCATAGATTTATACTCGGGTTGCATTCCCACAGGCTCCATTGTACAGCTATAGGTTAATTAAAATATATTTTACTATTCCATAAATATGCAATTGATATTAAGTGAATATAAGTTTTGTCCTAGTATTCACTTTTTATTACAAAGTCTTAAAAGAAGCTTATTTGCGTTCTGTATGTGCCTGTCCCAAGCCAGGAGCCTGTAGTTCAGTGGTTGTCGTTGGTTCATTTCTGTCATATTTGTTTTTCGTAAATTGTTTTGTTATAAATTAGGCCGTTAGTTTTCTCATTTGAATTGTTTCATATTTTCAGGTCTGGGCCTTTTATAGTCGACTATACGGTATGGGTTTTTTTCATTGTTGAAGGCCGTACGGTTGCCTATAATTGGTTAAATCCACTTCATTTGAACTTTGGTGGATAGTTGTCTAATTGGCAATCATACCACATCTCCTTTAATATTTCTATATTATTTACGGGATGGCATTTGCTGATTGAATAACCTGTTAGACGATTTCAATTAAAGTTTGGTTTACGCCTGTGACCATATACGATTCCTGATCGGCAAAACATGTACAAGATGAGTTGTGTATAATGTGTGGCGTTTGACCGTATGATGATCACTCAGGTTAAACCTGGTTTTATAGCTAGCTAAACCCTCCACTTGTATAACAGTTGTTTATAGTTCCGTTATATTGACAAAATTTGGCGAGCACGTATTTTCTTAGTAAAAATGTACGAACTATATCATTGCTTTTTGTGATATAAAAATAACACACTTTGTATTTATTTAATGTGACAAAATAAAATAAAACGTATGTACAATTCAAACAATAATAAATAAAAACTTTTAAAAAAGTCAATAGACAACGTCTCATCAACATTATAACCACGTGGTTATAACATATAGGTTGTTTTCTAGGAGGAGGTTTTACTGTCAACTCTGAAGCATGAAAACAGGTTTGTGATAAAATCACCAAACTTTGATTTCTTTACAGGTTTTTCTCCATCTGCAAAATAAATTTTGAAAGAAAAATCAAGTTATTAGACCCATGGAAGTAATATTGAATTTAAATATTACTTCCATGTTAGACCTAAAGCTTTTCTATACAGCTTTGTTTCTAATTTACTTACATCTTTTAAACAAAAGGCGATTCAATAAGATAGCAAGAGGTCAAGATATAGTACAAGCAGATAAATCATTTCTCATAATTTTTTTAAAATTATTTTTAAAAACTTGAGAGGGAAAAAACTCTCACTTGGTTGTTAATTTGAAACAAAAAGCATTATTAGCAGACTGATATAACAAAAATTCGAACATAATATTATGTAGGAATTAGAATCGCTGCTGTAGTATACCTATTGTATCAAAAAGTTTCATCACATTCTTCTCATGTGCATCCGTGCTTTCTTTTTCAATAAATACTAGATTGATAGTGAAGATTGAACCCACATTTAAAAATTTGTTTTTGATACCCTACCTGTAACTGTTTTCTCTTTCGTGTCATTTATTTTCATATTTTCTTTTTCTTTTAATTCCTCTTTTTTTAGTATCCTTTTATCCTGAAATTCATTACCTTCTAATTTTCTTATTTCTGTCGCTTCTTGTAGCATCAAAGTTCCTTCTTTTAACTGCTTTTTGTTCATCTTTTTTTCTTTCGATATCTCTGCCTCAAGCTTCCTTTTCTCTCTATATTCAAGTTTCTTTTTCTCTTTGCATTCCTTAGCTTCAAGCTTCTTTTTCGCCTTATATTCTTTAGCTTCAAGCTTCGTTTTCTGTTTGGATTCTTTGGCTTCTAACTTCAATTTTTGTTTTAACTCTTTTGCTTTCCGGTTCTTTATCTCTCTTGCTTTCTTTGCTTCCTGATTCTTTTTCTCTTTTGTTTGCTTTGAATCAAGGTTTGTTTTCTTAATTGCTTCTGTTGTCTGCAGTTTCATTTTCTCTAAGGTCTCCTGTAAATTTAGTTTCATTTCCTCATTGGCTTCAATTTTTTCTAATTTCTTTTCCTTTTTAGACTCTCTTGCTTCAAATTTGTTTTTCTCCTCTGAATCTATATCGGTGTCCAGTTCTTCTTCTCCACAATTTATTGTACTTTCCTGGATTTTGGCTTCCAAGGCCCTCCAGAATTCGGTGCTGTATTCATCAACGGCATCATTGATTATACCGCTGATGAATTGTTCCACCTGATTCTTCTCGTCCTCTTCTACTTTCGGTGGTCTAACTGTTCCCTCGTGTCCTGTAAATAGAATTTTAAAACCTTTTTGTATGCCCGGTCTAAGGTAGCAATACACAGTTAGGAGTTTGGTTTCGCATTTTGGCCCCGGTGGATTTTTCAAATATGAAAGTTATTGTGTAATAAAATTCATTTGTAGACAGCTGAGTACTAATTTAGCCTTCAAAGTTGGTTTATAAGAACATCAAGATTATTTTTTACATGTTTTATGGGCTATTTTCTGTTTGACTCTCCGTATTTTCATAGCTAGACCGGTCATCGGTCCAGAAATTAATGTAATGTTTACAAACACTTTTTTTCTACACGAAGTTTTTGACGCAATTTTACAAAAAAATGAGATGAAAGACATATGATTTTCATTGGATTTATTGAAAGATATATGTAAACAGTTTCAGAAAAGGTATTACTTGAAGTGATTGAAATTCTACTTTTGGTCAAATTTTGGGGAAATATGTGACATCTTTTCCCCCCTTTTTGCTATATTTTATAACAAAAAAATGCAGATTGTTGCCATGGATACACCAAAAAGAAATTATATTTTACCATTTTATATACTGGATATGAAATCTATGGAAGATTCTGATTACATACATATGCACATATATGACACAAACAGTAAGCTTTATATTGCAAGAAGGCAATGATAGGGGATGGTAAAATTTATGAGGGAAAATTTTAATATTTTTTCCTAACTGTTTATTGCTACCTAAGACAGTAGAGGAGCATTATCTTTTTCCGCTCTATTCGTCCGTCCGTCCGTTCGTTTCGTATTGGGTTAACATTTGGTTAAAAGGAGTGTATGGTCACATCAAATTAAAACTTAGTAGACATATAAAAATAAGGTGGTGTGGTATAATGGCACATGGGACATCTATCCACCAGAGTCCATGAAGTGGATGTAAGCAATTATAGGCCACCGTACGGCCTTCAACAATGAGAAAAACCCATACCGCATATTCGACTATAAAAGGTCCCAACATGAAAAATGTAAAACAATTCAAACGAGAAATCTAACAGCCTTATTTATAACAAAACAATTTACGAATAACAAATATGGCCGACATGAACCATTGACAATCACACAACAACAGGCTCCTGACTTGGGATATGCACATAAAGGGATCAAATGTTCGGAAACACACCGAAGTGTATATATAAACCTTAAAGTTATGACTTTTAGTTAAGATCGAAGGACTTCTAGGTAAACATCTGCAGTAAAATAAATTCAGGTTCTACCTCTTTAACTTTTGATTCAGACAAGTTTAAAAAAATGCTTATACGTTTATTTCATCATGAAGTAAATCAAAATATTGTAACGGCTATTAGTGTGTCTTTTAAAGTAATTATCTAGAACAATCCAGGATCCTCCTAGTACAAATCTGGATATCCCAATTTCTACTTGTAAATATTTGAATCTGATTTGTACTTGATTTCAAATAGTATAAATCAGAATTCGAATTTGTACTTGGGGGATTATAGAACCTTTCTGAATTCCAATTTGTACTGTAACATATATATACATATATATATTATATATTTTATGAGGAAATAACAACAAAAGGTACATATGGTGTATAAGTATGGACACCAGACTTCTTCTGTTTTTATATACTTTACAAAAAAAGTAAAATAACAAAAATACCGAACTACAGGGAAAATTTATAACGGAAGGTCCCTTAACAAAATGGCAAAATCAAAAGCTCATACACATCAAACGAATGGAAAACAACTGTCATATTCCTGACTTGGTACAGGCGTTTCCTTATGTAGAAAATGGTGGATCAAACCTGTTTTTTTTATAGCTAGCTAAACCTTGTGACAAGCCAACAAACAACATGTTTCTAAGATTCTTGTCGTAAAAAGGGTAATTGCAAAAGCAGAAGTCACTCGCTATGATATAAAAATAAGGAGCTGTGGTATGATTGCCAATGAGACAAATATCACCAAATACTAAAGGACGAGGATCGAAACTATATATCACCGGACGGTCCTCAACAATAATGAGCAAAACGGAATGACAAAGAGAAAAAGAAATTCAAAAGAGAATGTAAGACTGTCATAACAGACTTGGGTTCCTTATTATTTATTTAAATATCTATTTATTTTGTCGGATGAAAGCAATGTAAAAAAAAATCGATCAGTCGATCTGGTATGTATCTAAAAGTTTCGAAGTTGGTTCGTTTCAAAGCATATGCATGTGAGGGTCTGGATGGAGAGAATAATAAGCCAATGTTACAGAAAAATAGACAAATAAAGTAAAAATTAGAGAATAGTGGGGTACTGAAATATAAAGAATAGAGATAAGGGGTAAAATTTATAAAGACTAGAGAAAATGGCTAAAAAAATTTAAGAAAATAGAATTGAAGGACCCCAAATCCAGACCCTTATATGGCGCTTCGGTTTTCATCCGATTACTTACGCAAATAATTCAAACCATTCTTCTGATATATCAATGTATTCTTTGCTAAATCTGTATTATCACCTGCTCCATTTTCCTTTTCAATATTCACGCATATAGTTGTTTTTAATACTTTGTCTTCGTCCGTTTTCTTATTTTCAGTCGATTTTTCTCTCACTATTTTTCAAAAGATTATAAATAGAGTTGGTGTTGGTGGTGATAAAACATAAACCTAATACTCATATACTTTAACTAAAAACTTCATTGATCAATTGTTTTCAAATGTTTCAATATAAGAGCGCTATTCTCATGATTATGATAGGAAAGCTTACATATATGCAATTTATAAGGAGTGCTGAAAATTCGAGTTTCGTCTTCGTATTCTCAAATGACGACTTGACAAATCCATTATAACGTCAAAAACTGTGACGTTTCCATGATGCAAAACCATTTCTGAATTGGTTGATTAACTGTTTTGTACTACAAATGCAAAAGTAAAAGTTTTCAAGATTATTAATCGAGCTAACACCCCCCCCCCCCCCTCCCCCACCAAAAAAAAAAAAAAAAAATAAAAAAAAAATAAAAAAAATCCCTTGGCCACCCTTTTCGTTTTTTTCTTTTCTACCAAATTTAAATAAATAAATAAATGCACACCTGTTATTTCTTCATCAGAAGTAACATCTGTTGGAGATTTGTAATTCTCCCTGACAACTTCTATCCTCTGCCAAAATTCCAATTCTTGACTAGACTCCGCCTTTTCTTTATATTGCATGATAAGCTCTTTCTTTGCAGCTTCTAACAGCGGAAAGGGGTGTTCCAAATCATCCATGACTAAAATAAAAATGAAATTTTCTGTTCGACTGCTTTCATTTAACTCTAGATTGATTTGAAATGCAGTTTACCTATATATAGTACTTGTGTATTCTCTACCCCCACTCCTACGCGACCAAAAGGAACCCCGAGCCATAGAAATCGGTCCCAGTTTCTCTATCTGAGGGTCACGACTCCCGACAAGGGGCAACCGTCTGGCTGTACCGCAGCCGCGTCCGGTCGGAATCTGAACGTAAAATGAAAAGCCATATGTTAAAAATATACCACGCTCACTCAAGAACTATTGCAACAACTCCAGTGTAGAGTCTGTGTGAAGCTTCTTACAAGGCAATATTTCTGTCCCTATAAAACATGTTTTCATTTACCAATGCCGTTGAAAATTCTGCATTTGTATCCCGATTAAACCATTAAGTAAATAACCATACCGTATGGGTTTTTCTCATTGTTGAAGGTCGTACGGTTGCCTATAATTGCTTACATCCACTTTATTTGAACTTTAGTGGATAGTTGTCTCATTGGCAATCATACCACATCTCCTTATTTTTTATATGAACTATTTGCAATCAAACTGATAATTAATGATCAATCGATCAATCAATCTGATATCTACATAATGTCTGTTTATCTATAGTTAGCTTTTTTTCCTCGTCTTAGATTTTTAGATTTGTTTATTGTACTAAAAGTATTTTCTATACTTAAACGGTACCGAAAAGCTATAATAATGCAAAAACTAGTTTTGTTTTCAAGTGAACACGCACTAGATATACGGGTGCGGATCTAGATTTTTATAAAGGTAGGCCACCAGCAGTGTACAGTTTATACATGTTGTCATTGTTATCTACTACAAAGGTAATAAATTGGAAAAGGGGTATAGAAACTGTTGTCTATGTATCATGTTATTCATCGCGATTACACACTGGTGATCTTTATGCTTGTGTCCAGCCTTCATCAAATATTAGCAAAAGCTTTCCATGGCATGAACTGTTGCATATCTTATTTGATTTCAAGGTCAAAGTTATTAAAAGAGTCAATGTCTCAAAATGACATTTGAAATTTAAGCATGCTCCATGGTTCCATCTAATATTCATTTAACATCCTGACATACTTGACAAGGGAAAATGGTTGAACTCTATTTAATTTAAAGGTGTACCGCGTGTGGGACATCAGTTAGCATTATAGATGGTATGGATCGGGTTTACAGAATAGAGAATAATGGGCAAAAAGTGCAGAATAAAAGGCTAAACAAATAAATATAGAAAAAAAAAAGTTTAAAAAAAGAAGAAAATAATGGGGTGCTTATAAAATAGAGAGTACTTGGCAAAAAATATAAATAATAGAGAAAAATTACCTGAAAAATTAGGAAATTTACAGAAATGAAGGACCCTGTTGTGAAGTCCGCTTACTAGACGTACAGTATAGCGCGCCGCTCAACTGTCTATTGATGAGATCACAACAGACCCCCATCCAGACCCTCGTTATAGGAAAAGTTGCTACCGCCTGATTTGCTGCGGGCATGTCAATGAATTTTGAGAACAAAATGAAATTGATCACAAAAGTCATCCTTATATTCTGTAAGCTTTGTTTTTATACATTTGTATTGTATTTTCGGTGATGTAGTCAGTAAATAACTGCACTTTTAGTCATTTCTCATTAAACAAGAATCAGTCGCAGTAGATATATCTAACATCTACAAGTCTTCAAAGAAAAATAATATAGAATAGAAAGACTTTCCAGGGGCGAAATAAGCATAGACATACATGAAGGATATCAAAAGAAAGTTTTTTATAAGTTACTGTATGTTATAAGTAGGATATGTTCTTACCTTTATACGATTTTCTTTCTGTTTTCGTTCGATCAGCGAAAATTATTTTTTAATAAAAAGAACAGCGCTTCAAATTTCGTGAGTGTATCGTTGAAACTTTTTCATCAACGACGACGTCGCTACTATGGTACAACTGTGACGTCGCGAATAATTGTTGTATAGCTTCTTGCTTCCGGTTGTAATCAAAAGATGCAATATTAGAAATAAGATCGCATACTAATTAAATGCTGGGTAAAGTTCATATTAATTTCCTCAAAAGTTTGAAAAAAAAGTGTTAGACGGACAAAAATTATATCAGCGTTTTGGTTTTTTTAATGGAATTTGTGAATAATGAATCTGCACTTTTACTAGCATATACAATGCAAGTAAATTATATTTATCATGTTGAAACTACAATTAGAAAAAGGTAGTGACAAATCAACCAAATATATTTCATGTCCGGGTCAAAACGTTTAGCAATCTTTAAAAAAAAACATTTCTTTTTAAGGGGGCAAAATGCAAACTGCAAAATTATTCAAAAACATTTAAAATACATGCGTATTACAATGTTACAATATTATAAAACTGTTCGAAGTGGGTGAAAACGCTTGATCATCGGCTTTCACATGGAGGAAAATCAGCTGAAAAACACCTTTTCATCTGTACAATTATTTGTATATATTAGAAAATGAAACAAACATAAACGGGATAAACGATATACATTTATATATATATATATATATATATATATACATTGTTGTAATTTATTCCAATGAAGAAGACCGTAATGGCCGAGTTATAGTTTTTATTATATACATATAATACATACATATATATACAGAGATAATTAGATGAAGTGCAAAAACAATTAATAGAACGACAACATTGAAATGGAGACTTTTTGCTTTAATACTATCTCTAAAGTTTTGGACTTTTTGTCGATTGCTTGTTTTATCCAACATCTCCTTTTATTAAACATATAATAAAGTAACTGGTTTGGACATTATCCTCTTAAACCAATGACCATTAGATTTCAAATCAACAAAATAATAATGAATTAATTAAACATAGATATAAACCAATTAGACTTTACAGTATGTTGCTACATGTATTGATGAGTTTTTAATGAAAGAAACACTATCTTTCTCGATAACGCTTGAGCTTCCGGGGGCTTCGCCTCCCCCTTGAAAGCCCTACCAGAAGTGTCCTTTGTCCTGGATCTGCTGGGGGCCTGCAGGCCCCTCGCCGAGGTTCGGGCGTACACTTAAATATGACCTAGCTACGCCAGTGGCCACCGGCCCGATTTCACCACTTGAAGGGTACGCTTTAATATGCAAGAAACGTGCCTTGTGCAATTTGATGATATTGAAATAAAGGAGCTAGATCAAACATGCTTAAAAAACACAGAAAAAAACTTATTCCTACATCAAAAGCTAGAAAAATGAAAACACCATCATAGCTCATCTACGAAGTGAAGGTACACTACACCCAAGTCCATCTAAGAAAGCAAACATATTTAACAATCAATTTCAGTCTGCCTTTACATTTGAAGCAAACACTAATGTCATGATGCATGATGCAACATAAAAACCCAACAAAACATTTAAGAATTACGAACATGGGTTTATAGCAAAACGATCATGCGAGTCCCAAATAATTTCTCTGATACATGCATTATCACAAAACAATGACAAGAACATACAAACAGATCTTATAATCATGGATTTTGCAAATGCTTTTGACAAGGTACCACACAAAGTATTACTATAAAAAATACTTTGGCATATCAGAAATAATAAACTGGGTTGAGTCCTCTCTTTCAAATAGAACTCAAACAGTGTTTTTAGAAAATATGACATACTTAAAAATACCAGTCACATTAGGTGTCCCACAAGGTACAGTGCTAGGACCCATACTATTCCTAATTTACATCAATGACCTTCCAGAATACATCAAACATAGCCGAATCAGACTTTTTGAAGATGACAGTATAATCTATTGACAATTGAATCCCAAGACGACTGCCTCAAGCTTCAAGAAGATCTTGAAGCTGCCATTCAATGGGAACAAGACTGCCGTATGTCATTACACCCATACAAGTGTAACATTATGAATATAACACGCAAGAGAAATCCCATCCACTTTTATTACAACATGAATGGCTACGTATAAGAATCAGTACTACTTACGAAATACAAAGGTATCACAATTTAAGCAGACCTAAAATAGAACATTCACATTCAACAAACTGCCGCCAAAGCAGAAGAAGAAATCTCAAAGTTCAATCACAAACAATTACAGAAAGAGCATTTCAAACCTAAAGTAGAATACTGTTGTACTGTCACGAAATAGAAGTTCCTTCATAATCTAAGTTCCAAATGGAAAAAATATTCTGGAATATTATTTCCACTGGAATAAATATTACAGTATATGTTCCTAACGGAATAAATGGTATAGAATATTTGTTCCAACAGGAAAAGATATTATGACATTGTTTATAACAAAGTTTCCAGTGGAACTTCTGTTAGGCGGATCAAATATACGTTGACAGTACTGTATGAAAAAAAAGTACAGAGACGGGCTGCAAGATATGTTACAGACATCACAAGACCAGCAGTATGACTGAGATGTTAGACACCATGAATTGGCAAACTCTCCAAGAACGCCGTCTAAGAACTAGATTAACAAAATAGTAAATGAGAATATTGCCATTCCATCGCATGATTCATTACATCAGATTCAGTCTATGACAAGATCTTTCCATAAAGACTCCAACAGACAAATTCAATGCAATAAAGACGGCTACATTTCTTTTTTCTTTTGCCAAACCATTAAAGACTGGAACAAATTATCCTCTGACAACCAAAAAACATCACTAAAGAAACTTTCAAGGGTGCACTCACTCACGATGTGCTCCTTCTTGACAATCACCTACCTAAAATAAACTGGCAATCATGTTTGTATCTTAATAAATGAAATCAAAATACTAACATACTATTTACTCGGATGAACCCAATATCTGATTTATTGATTGCTAGGTGTTTAACACTACTTTCAGTACTAAAAAGAGAACCACCGACCTTCGGTAGGAAAACTGACAATCCTAGTCAATTAAGATTGGAGTCGAGCGCACCTGACGCTTCTTGCGGGATTCGAACTCACAACCTTAGTGTTGACAGGCTAGTGACACAATAGTT